GCAAAATTAACGAGGAGTTAGATGATTTAAATAGTATAAAATACCAGCTGACGGTTAAAATGTCATTGAGTAAAAGTAACACAGACGATAGCACTGAATATACCGAACCATATTTCCGTAGCAATCAAGAAGTTATAACCGAATCCAATACTATAAGCAAATCATTGTGGATAAAATCAATAGTTTATATTTAGATATACCAAATTATATGCCCTTCAAAGGTGGATCTTATATAGATTTACCCCCGTATAATGATAAGAAAAAAGCCATAATTAATGTAAAAAATAAAGGCGATGACTGTTTCAGAATGACGATAAGATCTGCATTGTTCCCCGTAGACAAAAATCCAGATAGACCTACTAGCTTTCCCCAAAACGATGGACTAAACCTCGATGGTATAGACGAACCTACACCAATCTCACAAATTGATAAGGTGGAAAAGCAAAATAATTTAGCTATAAATGTTTTCGGACATTCTTCTGAAGGAATTTTTGTACACAGGGAAAGCTCCGCTCCGGAACATATTCCCAGAATCAATTCACTTCTAATCGAAAAAAGATGGTAAATATGATTATACATGGATAAAGAGTCTAAGCGGATATTATACGATCAAACAACCCATAAGGAAAAGAAATATTTCTGCGAAAGATGTCTGCATGGGTACGGTAGACAGGATCTATTAGAAGCGCATAAAGAAGACTGTAGAGGTGTTGGACAGACTGCTATCAGGATCGATATGCCTAAAGAGGGGAAAAATATATTAAAATTGAACATTATTGTAATCAAATGCCAGTACCGTACGTAATTTACGCCGACTTCGAAGCACTTATCAAACCTATAGAAAATACTGAACGCAATACTCAAGATAGTTTTATGTACAAAACTCAAGAACATATTCCTTGTGGGTTTGGATATATAGTTGTAAGGTATGATGGGAAAACAAACCCGCCCATGATTTACAGAGGTCCCGATGCAGCGGGAAAGTTCCTAGAATATCTACAAAATGAAGATAGAATAATCAGGGAAAATTTATCGCGTAAGAAACCAATGTGTATGACGAGGGATGATTGGAGGGCCTATAAGAAGTCAACGAGTTGCCATGTTTGTAATAAACCCCTGAATGGGGATTCCGTAAGAGATCATTGCCACGTCACAGGTAATTATCGGGGAGCCGCGCATAACGAGTGTAACTTGAAACTAAAAATGAATTCTCAAACATTACCCATCCCCGTTGTGTTTCACAACCTTAGAGGATACGATTCACATCTCTCTCGAAAAGGTATTCTAAGGCTAATAATAAATTAGTGGAAGGATATGATCCGAGTAAACCAGATACACACATATTATATCTCGACGCCAACAATTTGTATGGGTGGGCTATGAGTCAACCTTTACCCACGAGTGGTTTTGAGTGGGTCGATGTGAATGATATCGAAGTGAATGATATCTCCTCAGATTCCGATAAAGGGTACATACTAGAAGTTGACTTGGAATATCCAAATTCTTTACATAAAGATCATAGCAGTTATCTGCTAGCTCCCGAAAGATTAATGGTGAATAAAGATAGGATGTCGGAATATCAACACTCCTTGATGGGTAATACAAGGTTAGCTAACATAGAAAAACTCGTACCAAATTTGATGGATAAGACAAAATATATAGTTCACTACAGAAATCTCCAGTTATATCTATCTTTAGGTATGAAACTAAAGAAAATACACAGAGTTCTAAATTTTGATCAAAGCCCTTGGATGGAGCCCTATATAAGGTTGAACACAGATTTAAGAAAGATAGCTACCAGTGATTTCGAAAAGAATCTATATAAACTTATAGCCAGTCCGGCTTTTAACAGAAGCAAGATATTCGATAACGACTTAGCCGCGTTGCATATGCAGAAGAGTATATAAAATTCAACAGACCGGTGTACGTCGGTATGAGTATTCTCGACTTGTCAAAACACTTAATGTATGACTTTTATTACAACGAACTTAAGAAGCAGTACGGCGATAGATGCGAGGTGTTATAGACCGACACAGATTCTTTGTTGATGGAAATACAAACCGAGGATGTGTATAAAGATATGGCAGAAAAAATAGATATGTATGACACGAGCAATTACCCAAAAGATAATCCACTGCACAGCGTAGTAAATAAAAAGGTGTTAGGTAAGATGAAGGATGAATGTGCTGGGACTCCTATAGTGGAGTATGTCGGATTAAGACCTAAGATGTATTCTACAAAGAAGTCAGATAATGGAGAGATAAGAAAAGCTAAGGGTGTTAAGAAGTATGTGGTAAAAAAGCATATCAAACACGAACAGTATAAAGAAGCATTATTCAACGGTAGAACATTCAAACATGAGATGAACTCTTTAAGAAGTTACAATCATAGGATATATGGATTAAGAATGAACAAGACATCATTATCCCCCTTAGATACAAAGAGATGGATTGATAATGATGGTGTAACTACCTATGCTTATGGTTATGGTGGTAATACTGTATGGTTGGGAACTATGAGCAACTCTTCTTGTACAAATGCCCTACCCGGTCCGTCTTGAAGATAATAAAGAATAGGCCTATCCTTCTTTCGTAACCAATCGACTAATGTTATATATCTTAAGGGACCAAATCGAATCGGTTGCGTGACGTAGACCTCCTTCGAGTTCACCGGGCTGGTATAAATATCTTACACTTACTCTATCCGGAAGTTTTTGTTCTTTGCCTCTCCTCGGTGCTGAAGATTCAGAAGTCACTGATTTCATTTTAATCGCATCGGATGGTTTCTTTTCTATTAATCTTGTTACTTCATTATTCAGCGCTCATACAACAGTTGATAATCGTGTCACCCATTCGGTTGATCTCAATCGTTCGGATTTCATTTCGATCCCATACTGATAGCAAAACAAATGTTCCGCTAATGTCCTGTTAAATCTTTCAACGATAGCTTGACTACGGTGTGCCTCTTTTTCACCATGCCTGATTTCAACATCGTGCTTTGTTAACAGTTTAGTTACCGATCCCATAAACTCACGACCGGGATCTACTTGAAATAACTTGGGCCATTTTAGTGGTCCACGTTTATATATGCGACTCAGTGCATAAGCTACTTCTGTTGAATCTTTCAAGGTTAATGGCTCAGCCTCTTTGTATTGACTAGCCACATCCACTACGGTTAAAGCGTATTTATACGTTTTGCGTCTCACCTTATCATGGGGAAGAAACAAGAGGTCAGCCTGATGAACTTCATTCGTTGTAAAAATATCAAACTTCTTCCTCGGTATATAACGCGGTGCCGGTAAGTATATTTGCCACATCGCTTGTTTCTTTAACCAATCCTTGGCCACATCTTTAGATACCTTAGCCACGGTGGCTAATTTTTGTATTGCTCCTATACCTTTCTAGTATCCTTGTGGGCTATAATAAATTTTATTCATTATTAATTAATATTGATGATTCTTTTAATATGATATCATGACGATTGTTAAATCTCATCATTTTGACATAAAAAATTCCCTCTGTATTGGTGGTTTAGGTATATGAATCTGGCTCTAGAGGAAGTGAGCCAGAACCCCCATCATCTATACTACTCATTGTAAGTCTTAGACAAATATAAATAACACAATGCATACCCTGTGGGTGATACAAGGCTGTGGATCCCGACTGCCACACGTATGGCAACACCATAGCTTATCTGAATAAACAATACATAGACTAAAACACTATTTAACATTAAATATATTGAACAAAGTAATATACACATTTTATTTACAATGATTTGCATGTATCACATCTGAATCTGTACATTACAAAGTTTTTTAAAACACTCTTGAAGTAAAACACTTTCACACATATTTCATTGAAGTGATAGAATACATTTTAGTGATAAAGTATGGGTGTTTAGCTTATCTTATGCAGATTTAAATATTTAGACATAATCAACATTTATGTTAGATTACATACATTTAGTTTACTTCATATAACACTTTAAACATACTGTATTATTTAAATACAACACAAGATAGAGATTATAACCATTTAACTCACCTGATTTAATAATATCTCTTTATCCTTTGCTGGTCTGAGCAGTTCTGTCAGTTCATGTGCTGAGAGAGTATGCAGTGTAATCAAAGCATGCAGTTAACAATAGGTGTTAGCTTGGCCAATCAGCAAATGAAGCTTCTGGCCATGGGGCAGTTAGTAGGTAAGACAGGTCAGATACACTTTGTTATAGCTGACTGAAACTGACAACTAGTTATATATATAGATATATGTAAAAACCTAAAATAAAATTAAAACAAATACAAAAACTACATCGGCCACATAAACAGAGCAGCCAAAGATTAAAAAAAGATATATCAATATACGAAAATAGAAATCATATCAATACAGAAACAGAAGTTATATGAATACAGTAGAACACTGATATAACGAACTACAAGGGACCAAATAAATCAGTTCGCTATATCCGTTGTTCGCTCGGAACGTCCGCCATCTTGTATAAGACAAAACACGTAATTGCAGCATTGATTTGTATTAGCAGTGATCAGTCATAAACTTGCAACAGCTATGTGTACCCTTGTGGGCTCGTGACGAAATACCCATAATGTCGGAAAGCGCATGTAAAATCTCCAAACAGTCAGTCAGTGTTTTCAGACTTGCTCTCACCTTCCTTGAAACTTGATCGGTACCTGCTAAGTCCATTGTTACATATATATTTGTTAGCTACCTATATATATGATGTTCATGTAAATAAATCTGTGTATATATGTACTAGTCTTTTTTTCCTACCCGGCCAAGCTAACCCCTTTTGTCAGAATATGATAGAATACTGCGTTTGCTTTTTAGGTTTCACCCACAAATTCACTGGAAGTACATTTTCGTTTTTGGTACGAAATAGCATATAACCCAACCGAGCCACTAGCCTACAACACGGTGTCAACACTGGTCAGTGTTCTCGTATCGTGTTCACGCTCGAGGCTTTACAGTCTCTTGTTGATGAATTTTACTTCTTGGTCGGTGTGACCCGGGTGAGCCCCGATTTTAATGAACTTCCGGGTTGTGAGTTCACTACCGGCATATAGTGTCTGTTTAATCATTTGACAGGTGGAAATCATTTCAAGAAGACCTTTGTCAAGGATAGGTATGTGAAGTCGTACCAATTGTTACTTATACTTATATGAGGAAAGAGTAGATCTATCGAGTTTTACTTTGCTTAGGCTACCTATGTTTGTCACTGTATGATAAGCTTTCGACTTGATGCACCTGTCAACATGTGTGAGGATATTTTTTGTCGTTCTACTAACTGTTTAAATAACTATTATGTCAAAGATGTGCTGTAAGGAAATGTGGTTACGTTTATATGGGTATAATTTCTTTCTCAGAAATCCCTGTAATTTAGGACTGTTATGTTCTGACCCACCCAAATTCAAATAAGGATACTCTCACGTAACCTGGATTCGTGTGTATAAAGAAAGGTCTCCAAAATTCATGGTTTAATGTCCGATTTCATTTTGTATACTCACTTATCATTTAATTCATCTATTCAACTCAAAGAAAATTATGAAGATTCCACTCGTGACTCAAAAGTTTGTTTACCCAAGCCATTTGCATTCATCATCCATTCATGTGCACAAAAAATGTAACGTCACCTTGATTTCGTGGATTACATAGTAGATTATTGTATCACTATGTACGATAGCCCAGTACCGAATTCTAATCAATACCTACCAACATTTCTGTCTCGGTAGATAACAGTTGAAAAGGATAGTTATTCAACACGATGTTTCAAGAACTCCCAAGCAAATCTTGTCAATAAAGTATATGTATACATGTACACTATTTTCCATCATTTCCCGCTGTACAGCCTTCAAGCAATTTACTGGGCATTCAAGCACCCACAAATACAAAGAAAGGTGGAATAAATGTGCCCAGAGCGTTTCCACATCCCAAAAGTGTGATGACTGCAGACAATCTCTCTGAAGAAATCCCGTAGGCCACGGATTTTCTTGAGCCAAACATTTTTGGTGCGACGTGGGTCTGGTTGATTTCTTTCTTATCAACCTTATAAATTGCTTCTGGTCTTGATTGTAAACCGTATTTATTCATAATGATGGGAAGTTCATAAAAATACTTGTTGATACATTCCTCTGAACTAGCTTTGGCACGAAGATCCGTGAGAGACTTGGCACTCCTAACTTTCAACTCCAGCTATCGCTCCAACAGACCATAATACCACTTCACAAATAATGGATGGGCCACATCAGGTTTTCCCAATTGACAAGCAAAGTTGGATCCTATTTGGATAACCTCTTTCCTCGTATATCCGTATCCGATTGGTGCCATGTAAGTTACATGGTCAAAAAGTCTGGTTTCTTGCTCCGCATAAAAAACTGGAGTCGCACCTGACTTGACAGTGTCAACATCAATCTTGCCTTTTTATCCTGTCTCTCAGTGTTTGTTTGGGTACAGAGAAGTTTAATGCTGCTTTATGAACTGCAACTTAATTTTTTTTTACTTTTATGTAAGCATTATTCAAAGCTGTAGGCGAGTAACTTTTGTATCTGTCGTGAAGACGTTTGTGAACCCTATGAAAATGGAAAAAAGATATACGAGATGGCCCTAAAATGTTGCCGTAGTTTTTGTTTTATTTTAACAGTCACGTGACTTATGTTTATTGACATCTAGACAAGCAGACGACGAGATGTGAGAATGATGGTGCTTACGTATATTTTTTAAATATGGTTTTGTAAATATAAAATTTGGTATTAGTGATCTAGGGCTATTTATCTCAGTGTTGGACATTTGGTTTTTCTGTACTTATGTGTTATGCAACGATTTGGAACATTTTTGTCGGCAAGGCATGGCAGTGTGTGTACATCAAAACTACCGCTGTGTGACGTCATATGAGACTTATAGGGGCACTGATCTAAAGCAATTCCCCGGGATTGGTTGTTGCCTTTGTTATTGTTTTTTCCTGTGAGTACCCGGATGATATAGCAGAAACCTAGACTAGTTAGCAACCTGTGCTGTGCAATTCGTAAGCACATTTGTTACTTTTATTGATAGTATAAGGGCGTCTGGTCACATTGATCAACAAAATGAAATACAGTTTTGGAAATAATAAGGAAATGTAGGTATCTTTGTGGGTAGCATCGGTAATGGTGACGAAGTTTTGATAAGTCACTTGCTTGTTAATTGTGTGATTTTCGTTTACACTATTTTGACTTGCAACACAAAGTAAATATTTCTCCTGAGTATTGATTATTTTATTTATATTATTAGATTCGATTTGATCCCTTAAGATATATAACATTAGTCGATTGGTTACGAAAGAAGAAGAGCCTATTCTTTATTATCTTAAAGATGGACCGGGTAGGGCATTTGTACGAGAAGAGTTGCTCATAGTTCCCAACCATACAGTATTACCACCATAACCATAAGCATAGGTAGTTACACCATCCTTATCAATCCATCTCTTTGTATCTAAGGGGGATAATGATGTCTTGTTTATTCTTAATCCATATATCCTGTGATTGACACTTCTTAAAGAGGTCATCTCGTGTTTGAATGTTCTACCATTGAATAATGCTTCTTTATACTGTTCGTGTTTGATATGCTTTTTTACCACATACTTCTTAACACCCTTAGCTTTTCTTATCTCTCAATTATCTGACTTCTTTATAGAATACATCTTAGGTCTTAATCCGACATACTCAGCAATAGGGGTCCCAGCACATTCATCCTTCATCTTACCTGGCACCTTTTTATTATACCCCCGACAAAATGTCGTGGGTATATAGTTATACCAAGGTTCCGTCTGTCCGTCCATCTGTCCGTATATCCGTCCGTCCATCCGAAAACTTTGTCCGCACGATTTCTCTTAAACTATTCAGGGGATTCATCTCAAACTTAGTACATATAATCTGTGTCATATGGAGGGGTGCAGTCAAAAGAAAAAAATTGTTTTTATTCATTTTCCATTTTTTTATGAATTTTTCAAACCCTAACATCCGTCTGAAAACTTTGTCCGCGCAATTTCTCTTAAACTATTCAGTGGATTCATCTCAAACTTAGTACATATAATCTGTGTCATATGGAGGGGTGCAGTCAAAAGAAAAAAATTGTTTATATTCATTTTCCATTTTTTTATGAATTTCAAACCCTAACCCTATCCTAGCTATTTAATTTGTAACTACTGACACACGAGGGGGTATTAGTGAGCCACGCTCACTTTTGCACTTGTTTACTACGCTGTGCAGTGGATTATCTTTTGGGTAATCGCTCGTGTCGTACATATCTTTTTTTTCTGCCATATCTTTATACACATCCTCGGTTTGTATTTCCATCAACAAAGAATCTGTGTCGGTAAATAACACCTCGCACCTATCACCATATTGCTGCTTAAGTTCGTTGTAATAAAAGTCATACATTAAGTGTTTTGACGAGTCAAGAATACTCATACCAACATACACCGGTCTGTTGAATTTTATATTACTTTTCTGCATATGTAGTGTGGCTAAGTCGTTATCAAATATTTTGCTTCTGTTAAAAGCCGGACTGGCTATAAGTTTCCTGAGTCTTTCTTCCTCATTAGATCTGACTAATTTAACATCAACACGCTTCCTTAGATTCTCCATAGTTTTACCAAATACTGAGTTATTCATGAGCTTATATAGGTTCTTTTCGAAATCACTGGAAGCCATCTTTCTTAAATCTGTGTTCAGTCTTATATAGGGCTCCATCCAAGGGCTTTGATCAAACTTTAGAACTCTGTGTATTTTCTTTAGTTTCATACCTAACGGTAGATATAACTGGAGATTTCTATAGTGAACTATATATTTTGTCTTATTCATCAAGTTTGGAACGGGTTTTTCTATGTTAGCTGACCTAGTATTACCCATCAAGGAGTGTTGATATTCCGACATCCAATCTTTATTAACCATTAATCTTTCAGGAGCTAGCGGATAACTGTTATGATCTTTGTGCAACGAATTTGGATATTCCAAGTCAACTTCTAGTATGTACCCTATATCAGAATCTGTGGGGATATCATTCACATCGATATCGTTTACCCACTCAAAAAAACCGGTGGGTAAAGGTTGACTCATAGCCCATCCATACAAATAGTTGGCGTCGAGATATAATATATTCGATCGGGATTACTCGGATCATATCCTTCCACTAATTTATTATTAGCCTTAGTATACCTTTTCGCCACCATTGATATACCACCTGTTAATCCTTTCTCAATAAACAAGTGCATATCGTAATCGGTGAGTAATTTTAGTTCTACACCGGTCTTCTTCAACAATGCATTCCACGATAGTCCAGGACTGGAATAGTACCATGCCGGGTCCAAGCCGTATTGTTTTAAACATGTCTTTCTAAATATCTCGAATATATCGGCGAGTAACAGTACATCTGTTTTTAAGTACAGATCGTGATAATCACCTAAATTCTTACAACCTGATTTATCCCAGACCGTCAGAGCGTGTTCATAATCTGCATCGGTTATTTGAGATTCTGTTAAGTTACTATAGAATGATTCAAGGGGTGGTAATTTAGTTTCTTCAAATCTAGACCAATCATCCATGTATTCGTAAGGATATACACCTTTTCTCAGCAACAAATGCCGTGTTAACCGATCAGTATATTGATTTGTTATCACGAAGTCATCGGGATTGTTCGCATTAGCTAAATTGTCCAGGGAAGATAACAGAAACTGTACGGAGTCTATGAATCCAAGTCCATTACTTTGCTTTGTTTTAGCTTTCCCATCCTTGTCCGTAAAATGCAATTGTCCGTAGAGAATCATATCCTCTAAGGTTATGAAACACAATGGGGATGGGTATTGTTTGAGAATTCATTTTTAGTTTCAAGTTACACTCGTTATGCGCCGCTCCCCGATAATTACCTGTGACGAGGCAATGATCTCTTACGGAATCCCCATTCAGGGGTTTATTACAAACATGACAACTCGTTGACTTCTTATAGGCCCTCCAATCATCCTTCGTCATACACATGGGTTTCTTACGCGATACATTTTCCCTGATTATTCTCTCTTTGTTTTGTAGATATTCTAGGAACTTTCCCGCTGCATCGGGACCTCTGTAAATCATGGGCGGGTTTGTTTTCCCATCA